AATCTTAGTGTTGTCCTAAGGTGATCAAAGACTCATCGGTTGAGAAACGTACTTAATCATGGCGTCTAGCTACCATTGGTTCGATACTCAAGCGATTTCTTGTGTCATTCTCAACTCCATCTTTCAACGTTGATACCAATTCATCTTCTAGGTCCTGGTTGTCGTATAGAGTTCGTATCAGAAGAATATATTGGCAATCTTATACCTCTTGTGCGACCACTCCCATTCCTTGTTAAACTAGAGAGACATATAAGTTACAGTTCAACATCCATGATAGGGGAGACTCTCTGTCATGCAATGAATGTATATATCTACTACTAACCTTTGCAAAATTGCCAAGACCTACCATTTGAAGAAATATCTATGGACACAAGGGAGAAAGAACCTCTAATCTAGTACGCAAGTCGTACAGAACATCAGCTACAAGGAAGAATTCTTATGTACTTAGCAGATGAGAACAACCAAAACAATGAACCAAATAGATTATTCTTAATCAGAAAAAGCAGAAAAAAAAAAAGAAAAATTAAAAACTGTAGACTTCCAACTAAAAACTGTGAGGACTTGTAAAATCCCTCATATTTTTCTTAAAAATTCCCTTTTATTTGGAATTTATTCCTTTATAATAGCCTTACTACTCATTCACTCCCTCAATAGTTACAATTAATTATAGAACCAAGGGTTTTCTCTTTTCTCTCATCATTAAGGTAAACTAGGGTTTTTACGTCTTTTGGTAGTGTGATTACTCGGTACGAAGTGTGTACTAAATTTGGCAGTTAAGACTGAGTTTTAAAAAAGAGAAAGTGTGTGATTAGAAGTAATAATAATAAATTAGTGAATCATAAGTTAAAACCTTAGAACACGCAATTTAAGGAAAATCGGTTTGAACCGACGGGTACTGTTCGCTACCGATTGAGTGCACCACTTGAACACTACTTTATTACCTTATTCCTCTTGTTATTATTGCATAAACATCATCCCTTAATCAGCCAAGAGAGAGAGACGAAATTATCGACCAAAAACAAAGGAAAAAGAAGATAAATTTAAGATGTAATCTTGAGGTGACAAGTGGCAAACATCCAAGGGTTTTTTGACCAACTAATTTCCTTCATTTTTATCCCTTAAATCACTTCAATTCCTCTTCATTTTCTGCATTTCCAGCCAAGCTTGAGGAGAGAAAGAAACCAAGTGAGCAACCTCCAACTTTCACCTTGAATCATCTTTATTTGAGAGAAATCACCCAATCCAAACCGATTAAACTTTCATTTTAGTGTTTAGGTAGTTGGGTGTGGTAAAAGTTTGGGAAGAAAGTGTTTGGTTTCAACCTACAAGGAGTTTTTGGAAGGTACCATGGCTGTCTTTCCTTTTTCTCTTCTTACTCTTGCTAAAGTTTGGATAGAAACTCTTAATCTTGGGTTTTGACGGTTAATTAGTGAGTTGTGCATGATATGGTGCAATGTTAGCTAGGGTTTACATTTTCAGCCTTGATTATGGTTATCTACCTATCAATTGATGTTATTGAGCTAGTACTTGAGGGTTTTGTTGATAGAGTACTTGTTAGATATGAATTTCTAGAGTAAAAGTCCAAATTTCAGAAATTTGAAACCAAGTTGTTCTGTTTTGATCTGTTTAATTCGTCCATGTTAGAGGCCCAATCAAGCCTAGGTCAAACCATGAAAGTTGTAGGTAATACATTTATATAGCTGCCTGTAAAATTTCATCTCAATCGGAGTACTTTAACCTTTGAAATGACAAAATTACCCCTGACTGCCAAATGCACTGTTTCACGGACAGTTTTCTGTTTTCTCTTAGATTGCACCTTTTGACCTTGCAAACGAACGAAATAGCTGTCAATGTCTTCATAAGACTTGTATTTCTCTGTCTTAGCTTCGAAACGGTATAAAGTGTACCACAAAACCGATAGGCATAGCTTCATTTGTGACCGAAACGCCAAGAGACGTCAAACCTGCTGTTTTGTTGTGTGTCCTTAAACTTGGTTTCCGGTCGCATTACTAGTATTTTTTTATACTTGAATGACATTGAGCCTAGTTGAAGGGCTATTGTGGTAACATTGCTTGTGTGTGACTTTGTGGCAGATTTTAGGAAAACAATGAAGCCATTAATGGCTGGAAACTAGCTAAATACAAGAGGCATGCCGCCCAAATTTTCACTCGAGGACTAGACGTGTGTACTTGTGGTTCGAGCGAAGAGTTGAGGTTAAGTGAACTTGAACTGTCTAGGTTATTTGAGTCCTCTTTTGTAGAGGTATATAAGCTAGAGTTCGGCTGAAACTTGTACCCTTGGAAAAATGAAAGTAACGACTAATAGAAATACGTTTTTCTCGTCTCTTCGATTCAAATGGGGATTTCAAAGTTTAATCGCTTCAAAGTTTCAAAGTTTTAAGAGCGAGCATGAGTTTTACGAATATTCCTCAAATGAGTTTCAATTACTTGTTTTTGTTAAACGAAACGCTTAAGTTTCGAACCTTAATTGATTTCAAAGTTCTTAAATGATGTTTTATCGTAGATTTGGACTCCAAACCAGGAGTAATACATGAACGTGAACCGAAAAGGCACTAAATCTTTGGTGAGTGCTTCCAAATACCTGATTGAACTTGATACTTGTTTTCAATACTTGACCAATGTAATCGAATGATATGTAATTGATTTGATCGGGTAAGGGTGTACTTTATCGCACTTGCCCTAATGTGCTATATTCTTGTTCATTGATTGAAAGTGAATTGATGTACATGCATATGATTCGTATCTTGTCTGGAATTCCGGAAACCCTGTGGCTAGTTGGTCGAGTCGAGCCGGCAAGGGTTTGATCGATTCGATAACGAACCCTGGGTCATTAGTTTTATCGAGTAGAGTGTTATCTTCTCGACTAATCGGTATACTCGAGTATTACCACCAGTGTTTATCTTGGACTGTGGGCCCGGTAAGGGGTTTGGTTGGGGGACGGAGATTGGAGTTAAGTGGAGTACTACTGGACTAGTTATCTTACTTGAAAGTTGACGGAGTGTCAACTACTATACGATCAAGCTATGGGGAGCCAGTTCACAAGAGCAACTGTATCCTTTTACATGAAATGCTGAATATTAAATGTTTGGTCATCCGAAGTGTTATTGTTCATTTTCTTGATTTGTTAATGCTCGCTACTTTACTATTATGAAATTTTCACTTGTACTTACTGGTCAACTTGCTATTTGGGACCTCACTGAGGTTTAGCTCACCCTATTAGTTTTGTTTTCCTTACAGGAGGTACGAGCAAGGCGTGAGACTTGTACTGGCTAGCGTAGTCTAGTTTTTGAAAATTTTGTAATTGTACTCACTAGTCGCTCGATTAGGGTTGAATGTATTTAGAATTCCAATCTTTTGATGTATTTGGGAATGTATGGAAGTTTGAGACAGAAATGAATGTATTTGTATATTTTAAATTTGACAACGGTTGAATTCTTTACATTAAGAAGTTGTGAATTATATTATCCGAAATAGTGAGTGAGTCCTGGCGACAGCTAGGCAGGCGGTCCGCTAAACCCTGGGGTACACCCTTAGAAAAGATGGGGTCGTCACAGGTGGTATCAGAGCCTAGGTTTGAATTGATCTGGGTAGATTGAGTGATTTACACCTGATATTCCTTGCTTATAGATGGGTTATGATAGTCTTGGGTTTCACACTCGAGAATAGGTGATTCACCTAGCTGTATGTGTCTAACTTGTTCATTTTTACGATGTTACTTGTAATGTAGGTTATGGCGGGTAAAGATACGAGTGGGGGTGCCGAGCCATCTCAGCCCGTACCTACTGGCCATGAGCATCTCGGGGGACCTATATGTCGCGTACTCACCTACCAGGAGAGTCCTTGTGGGCCTGTGTATCGGTGGTCTCCAGCACGGAAGATCTGACATTGTGATTGCTGGAAGACTTACTCCAACCCCAATAGGGTAGTACTTGCAGTTGACGATGAGAGGAGATGATTGGGTAGCGCCAATCGTAGGTGTCAGACGGAGATAGAGCGGCTACAAGCAGTTCTCCGAGTTCAGGATGCCAGGATCCGAGAGCTTGAGGCTTCGGTTCTCGAGAAGCAGGAACGGACGAATGCCTTCAGAGAGCAGGCTCAGGCGGCTAATGGTCGCCTTGTTCGGGTAGTTGGAGACGTGAGAGACCGAACTGACCGTATTTTGACGGAGTGCAGGGCCCTAGTTGAGGATGTGGTGCAGAACTTGGCCGAGGAGGGTCAAGGGCACGCGGTCCCTGGTGATCCTGAGGAGGATCTTGAAGAGGATCTTGAGGAGGACCCAAAGAAGGAGCCGGTCGCACCTGCGGAGTCGATTCGGTCGGCATCTAGCTAGACCCCTAGTTTAGGGTTTGAGGAATTTTTGTGAGATAGTTAGGGACATAGGGGGATGACACGTCATTTTTGTTTTTGAATTTGACGTGTTAAGGTTGATGTATATAGTGCTTTTTTTGTTCTATGTCCCTTGGTTTGTACAGTATGTTCTAACTTATTATGTGCCTTATTTTGCTATGTATATAAAGGAAATGTTTATTTGAAATGTGGTTTCTTATTTTGCTTTGTGATTTGGAAACGTTTTATTTGAGCCATACCTGATTTTGTTTATATTTACATAGTTGGTTAGTCAAGAAGCATGGAAGGTAGAAGAAGTCAGGATCAGGGAGCTACTCGAGGGCATGGCTCTAATCGTGGGCGTGGGGGTAGACAGGCACAGGAACCGATGCAAGAACCGAGAGAGGAAAGAGGTGAAACAGTTGACCCGCAACTTAAACCCCGAACGGAAGGGGGGATCAGGTGGCAACGGCAATTCAACAGATGACTAATATCCTTGCTCGTTTGGTAGAACAACAGGGTCAAGCCCCAGTGAATCAACCTAGGGATCCCGAAATGGGGCAAGATAGGGCCCTAGAGAGATTTCAAAAGTTTTTACCTCCGAAATTCTTGGGAGGGCCGGACCCTGAAACGGCTGAGAGATGGCTAGAAATAATGATCAATATATTTGCCGCTTTAAATTATGCGGAGGATAGACAGGTGCAATTTGCTATCTTTCAGTTTAAGGGACCGGCCAGAGCATGGTGGAATGTAGTTAGGGCCAAATGGGAAAGAGAGGGAACTGCATGGACCTGGCTGAAGTTCGTGCGGGAGTTTAACGAGAAATATCTCCCACCGATAGTCCAGGAGAAGAGGGAAGACGATTTCATTATGTTTCACCAGGGAGCCCTAAGTGTAGCTGAGTATGAGACTCAGTTTACAAAACTATCCAAATTTGCTCCCGAGTTGGTAGCTACAGAGCAAACGAGGGTAAGGAGGTTTGTGCAGGGTCTCAATGTAGAGATACAGGAGGCCTTGGCGGCGGCTCAGATTAACACTTTTACGGAGGTTTTGGAGAAGGCCCAGAGAATCAAAATTGCCAGGGCGCAAGTAAGGAATTTTTACACAAAACGGATAGGGGCGCCTGGTGGAAATCAAGGATCGGCACAGAGTGATCGAAACATGCCACCCCCTAAAGCCGGTCGTGGAGCTGGAGGTGGAAGGTTTATGAGCACATCCAGGGGAGGTACTCCGAGGGGAGCCCAGAGTGGAAGGGGACAGGGGAGAAGTGTCCCACAGGAAGGCCAGACATCTGCCCCCCGAGTATCGTGTGGGTATTGTGGGAAATCACACCATACTAAGGATAATTGCTGGAGAAAAGCTCAAAAATATTTAAGGTGTGGAAGTACGGAGCACCAGATTGCTAATTGCCCACTAATCAGTGATGCTAAGTCGACTGGCAAATTGAACCCTAAACCAACCAATGTAGGAGGGACCAGGTCAAGGGTGCCAGCCAGAGTGTATTCTTTGGACCAACAATCGGTACCTGAACCATCGAAGGTAGTGGAAGGTACGATTCCTGTCTTCCATCGTTTAACCAAAATTTTGATAGACCCTGGTGCAACCCATTCTTTTGTTAGCCCCACATTTATGCTTGGAATTGACGTGAAAACCGGACTTAGAAGTAAGAACACCTACGGGTAACCAGTCCTTACTTGCCAACGAAGTGTATAGAAACTGTGATATATGGGTTGGTGAGCGGAAATTAGTAGTTGACCTCATAAGTCTAACCATTAAGGAGTACGATGTTATTCTAGACATGGATTGGCTAGCTCATTATCATGCTCGGGTGGATTGTCGTATGAAGGTGGTCGAGTTTTGCATACCGGGTGAAGCAACTTTAAAGCTAAACGTGAGGGGTATGTTAGCCTCATCTGCCCTCATTTCGGGAATAAGGGCTAGGAAATTGCTTAGTCATGGGCCACGGGGTAATCTAACCTTTCTAGTTAACACTCCAGGGGAAAAGATTAAGTTAGCAGATATGCCGGTGATAAATAAGTATCCAAATGTGTTCCCGGAGGAATTAGCGTCATTGCCACCCGGGAGAGAGATTGAGTTTAAGGTTGGCCTAACACCTGGAACTACTCCCATTTCAAAAACCCCTTATCGGATGGCGCCCGCTGAACTTAAGGAGTTAAAACTTCAATTGCAAGACTTGCTAGAATGGGGATTCATACACGAGAACAAATCACCTTGGGGCGCTCCAGTGCTATTTGTCAAAAAGAAGGATGGGAGTTTAAGGTTATGCATTAATTATCGAGGGTTGAATGTAGTAACCATTAAGAACAAATATCCTTTGCCCCATATTGATGAATTGTTTGATCAATTACAAGGGGCCATGTGTTTTCTAAGCTGGATCTTCGACAGGGATATTACCAATTGAGAATTAGAAAGGAGGACGTGCCAAAAACGGCCTTCAACACTCGATATGGGCATTTCGAGTTTGCGGTAATGCCTTTTGGCTTAACCAATGTCCTAGCGCCCTTCATGGATTTAATGCATCGGGTGTTTAAACCTTATTTGGGTAGGTTCGTGGTGGTATTTATTGATGATATCCTGGTGTATTCGAAAACAAGGGAGGAGCATGAACAACACTTGAGAATAGTGTTGCAAACCCTAAGAGAGCACCAGTTATTTGCTAAATTTAGCAAGTGTGAATTTTTGTTAGAGAAAGTGACGTTCCTAGGCCATATAATTTCAAAAGATGGACTTACTGTAGACCCGGCTAAAGTGGAAGCTATTGCCAAATGGAAACGGCCGGAGAATCCTACCGAAGTTCGCAGTTTTCTAGGTCTAGCGGGGTATTACCGCCGGTTTATAAAGAATTTCTCAAAAATTGTGGGATCCCAACTAACTTGACCAAGAAACAAGGAAAATACATTGGGATGCTAAGTGTGAAAATAGTTTCCAAGAGCTTAAGAAGCAATTGACCATGGCTCCGATGTTAGCTTTGCCCAACGGGAAGGATAGCTATACAGTTTATACCGATGCTTCGAGAGAAGGGTTAGGGTGTCTTCTGATGCAAAATAGGAATGTAATTGCCTACGCTTCTCGGAAGTTAAAGTCTCACGAACAAAACTATCCAACCCATGACTTAGAGCTTGTGGCAGTTGTTTTTGCTTTGAAAAATGGCGGCATTATTTGTACGGGGTGACATTTGAGGTATACACAAATCATAAGAGCCTTAAATACTTATTCTCTCAGAAAGAGCTCAATCTGAGACAACGTCAGTGGGTGGAGTTTTTAGAAGATTATTATTGTACGATTAATTACCATCCAGGAAAGGCCAACGTTGTAGTAGATGCTCTAAGTCGAAAGACTCAACTAGCAAGTTTAATGGTGGGCGAGTGGAGCTTGTTAGAAAATATATGTGAATGGAACCCTCGTGTAGAGCCACGGAAAGTTATTTTTGGAAATATTGAGGTGAAGTCGACACTGTTGGATCGGATTAAAGAGGGCCAAATGAAAGAACCAACGGTACAGAAATGGGTGGAAAGAGTGAAGAAGGGAGAATTGCCTGATTTTAACCTCAGTCCTGATGGGATTTTAAGGTTTCGAAATCGCGTCGTTGTACCTAAAGATGAAGAACTGAAGAAGGAGATTTTGGAGGAATCTCACCGTTCTAGGTATACGGTGCATCCAGGTAGTGGTAAGATGTACCAGGATCTCAAAAACCTGTATTGGTAGGATAATATGAAGGCGAAAATTGCCCAATTTGTACAAAAGTGTCTTACGTGCCAACAAGTGAAAGCTGAGCATAAAAAACCGTCGGGTTTGTTACAACCTTTAGAGATACCTGAATGGAAATGGGAGCACATAACGATGGATGTCGTATCAGGGTTACCACAAACTCAAAAAGGTCATGATGCGATTTGGGTGATAGTAGACCGATTAACTAAGACTGCATATTTCTTGCCAGTTAATATGAAATACTCTTTGGAGAAACTTTCCAAACTCTATATGGATGAAGTCGTGAGACTACATGGGGTACCAGTGAGTATCGTATCCGATAGGGACCCTAGATTTGCATCTCGATTCTGGAAAAAGTTGCAAGAGGCTCTAGGAACTAAGTTGAGCTATAGTACAGCGTATCATCCTAAAACCGATGGACAGTCTGAGATAACCATTCAAACTCTTGAGAATATGCTGAGAGCCTGTATTGTAGATTTTGGAGGGAGTTGGAGACAATACCTAACCTTGGTTGAGTTCGCATATAACAATAGTTATCACTCTTCTATTCAAATGGCCCCCTATGAAGCATTGTATGGGCGATGGTGCCGATCACCTATTCATTGGGATGAAATAGGAGAGAGGAAGATTTTAGATCCGGCTACAATACCATGGGTTGAGGAAGCCTACGAAGGGTAAAGGTAATTCTTCAGAGGCTTCAAACGGCCCAAAGCCGACAAAAGAGCTATGCCGATCATCGGAGGAAGGATTTGGAGTTTGAGATAGGAAATAAAGTGTTTCTTAGGGTTACTCCATTGAAAGGAAAAATTAAAGCAGTAAAAGGGAAAAAGTTGCAACCAAGATACATAGGACCTTTTAGTATACTCCAGCGGATAGGAAAGGTGGCTTATCGACTAGAGTTACAAGTTAGTTTGTCTCGGATCCATGACGTGTTTCATGTTTCTTTGCTTAAGAAATATCATCCGGATCCGACTCACATTTTGCCATCAGAAGATATTGAACTGGACGAGTCTTTGACCTATGAGGAACAACCCATTCGAGTACTAGATAGGAAGGTGAAGGACTTGAGAAATAAGCAGATTCCACTGGTTAAGGTTCTGTGGAGACACCATGAGGTGGAGGAAGCAACCTGGAAGCTGGAGAAAGACATGCAAGAGAAGTATCCCGAGTTGTTTACGACTAAAGGTATAAATTTCGAGGTCAAAATTCTTTTAAGGGGGAGAGAGTGTAAGGACTTGTAAAATCCCTCATATTTTTCTTAAAAATTCCCTTTTATTTGGAATTTATTCCTTTATAATAGCCTTACTACTCATTCACTCTCTCAATAGTTACAATTAATCATAGAACCAAGGATTTTCCCTTTTCTCTCATCGTTAAGGTAAACTAGGGTTTTTACGTTTTTTGGTAGTGTGATTACTCGGTACGGAGTGTGTACTAAATTTGGTAGTTAAGAGTGAGTTTTATATAATAGAAAGTGTGTGGTTAGAAGTATTAATAATAAGTTAGTGAATCATAAGTTAAAACCCTAGTACACGCGATTTAAGGAAAATCGGTTTGAACCGACGGGTACCGTTCGCTACCGATTGAATGCACCACTTGAGCACTACTTTATTACCTTAATCCTCTTGTTATTATTGCATAAATATCATCCCTTAAATAGCCAAGAGAGAGAGCCGAAATTATTGACCAAAAAGAAAGGAAAAAGAAGAAAAATTAAAGATGTAATCTTGAGGTGACAAATGGCAAACATCCAAGGGTTTTTTGACCAAACAATTTCCTTCATTTTTATCCCCAAAATCACTTCAATTCCTCTTCATTTTTTGCATTTCCAGCCGAGCTTGAGGAGAGAAAGAAACCAAGTGAGCAACCTCCAACTTTCACCTTGAATCATCTTCATTTGAGAGAAATCACCCAATCCAAACCGATTAAACTTTCATTTTAGTGCTTAGGTAGTTGGGTGTGGTAAAAGTTTGGGAAGAAAGTGTTTGGTTTCACACCTACAAGGAGTTTTTGGAAGGTACCATGGCTGTCTTTCCTTTTTCTCTTCTTACTCTTGCTAAAGTTTGGATAGAAACTCTTAATCTTGGGTTTTGACGGTTAATTAGTGAGTTGTGCATGATATGGTGGAATGTTAGCTAGGGTTTACATTTTCAGCCTTGATTATGGTTATCTACCTATCAATTGATGTTATTGAGCTAGTACTTGAGGGTTTTGTTGACAGAGTACTTGTTAGATATGAATTTCTAGAGTAAAAGTCCAAATTCCAGAAATTTGAAACCAAGTTGTTCTGTTCTGACCTGTTTAATTCGTCCATGTGAGAGGCTGAATCAGGCCTATGTCAAAACATTAAAGTTGTAGGTAATGGAGTTATATAGCAACCTGTAAAATTTCATCCCAATCGGAGCATTGTAGCATGTGAAATGATAAAATTACCCCTGACTGCCAAATGTACTGTTTCGCGGACAGTTTTCTGTTTTCTCTGAGATTGTACCTTTTGACCTTGAAAATGAACGAAATGGCTGTCAATGTCTTCATAAGACTTTTAGTTCTTTGTCTTAGCTTCGAAATGGTATAAAGTGTACCCCAAACCAATAGGCGTAGTTTCAGTTGTGACCGAAACTCCAAGAGACGTCAAACCTGCTGTTTTGTTGTGTGTCCTTAAACTTGGTTTCTGGTCGCATTACTAGTATTGTTTTATACTTGAATGACATTGAACCTAGTTGAAGGGCTATTGTGGTAACATTGCTTGTGTGTGACTTTGGGGCTGAATTGAGGAAAACAATGAAGCCATTAATGGCTGGAAACTAGCTAAATACAAGGGGCATGCCGCCCAAATTTTCACTCGAGGACTAGACGTGTGTACTTGTAGTTCGAGCGAAGAGTTGAGGTTAAGTGAATTTGAATTGTCTAGGTTATTCGAGTCCTCTTTTGTAGAGATATATAAGCTAGAGTTC